ACAAAAAACACCACTGATCAATATTAAACTATACGTGGGTCAAGGGTCATTCCGTCAAAGAGCACAATTTATTCATATTCAATCAATCAAAACTATAAATAAACATAGAAAAATGATTGGCGTATTTCATTTACTTGAAAAAAGAAAAAAAAATTCTAAGAGCTCAAAAGAATTTGTTGCTGTTTTTATTTCTTATATGCAATATGAACTGTTCGAAATTTAGTTTCACTAAAAATATGATCTATTTTATTTTAAACAAAATGTTGAAAAGACTGGATTGGTGGAAATCGCGTCTTTTGAGATCGGCTAGTATTAAATTCAATGCAAAGAGTTTAAATGATCAGGTACATTCAATGTAAAGTATCTCAGAGAGATTACTTCTACAACATTATACGACCAAATGCTGTCCCTATCTTGACAGATGAACAAAAATCTCTTTCCTAGAATAAGTATATGTTTGTTATTAAATTCGAATGCGAGCAAATTTTGAAAATATTAAATCAGAAATTGATGCTCTGTTCTAAATAATTTAAGATTTACATTTTCAAATGATGTTTTAGTATTCTATACTAAACGAATTGCCAGCATCTTATTCCAAGGAAGAAAATATAGACAGCTTTCCATCCTAAAAAGGTTTCAGATCAGCTGCTAGCCTTAAATTATGCATTAGCATTTAATTCCAAGAACAGAAAAAATTCAGATGGGGTACCAAGGTTGGATTATGTATATCAGATTATGTACAACAATTCTATTATATTCTCAGAAAATTTCAGATCGTTTTCTAGCATTGTAATCTAGGGAAATTTTCAGATAATTTACTCATATTCTATAGTAAGACAATGTACTAACATTGTGTCCTAAGATTATTTTGGTATAAGGTCGTGTCATCAGAGCCTTCTCTTCACAAATATTTTTTTATCAAGACCAAGTACTAGTATTAATAAATAAATAATTAAAGGGTGATATTGAATATAAAAGACTATGATAAAATAGATAAAGATGATGAGCATATATATAAGTAATTTAACCTGTATATATATCTTATCATATTATAGATTGACCTTTTACCACCATTCTAGACCAATACTATGTCTATATGATATGTTTCTATAGGTTTTATCATATAGCCACGACTTGGTAAATAAGAAAATAAATGATAAGTCTGTGTTGAGATAACCGTTATTTTCTCAATTTGTTCGTTTGTTCAACAACGTAGACTTCTATCATTATTGCTCAATTCTTATCATGGTCCTATTTCTTGGTGTTTTTACGCCACTGAATGTCTTAATAAGTTGACTTTGACAGCTTATTATAGGCAAATAATTATATAAGCAAATATAAGAAACATTTTAAGGTAGTTTTTATGTTATGACTTTAAAGCATAAAATGGAACCATTATTTAAAGTCAGTGTAATGTTTCGGAGAATAACGTTAATAACGCTGAAAATAACGCAAATTGTAAATCATCTTCTGGCTACAGTATATTGCTTCATCATGCTTTGGGGCTGAATTGACTTTATAATAGATTGTACATTTTACCTGCAACGCTAGAAATAAACGATCGACTAGTAGGTAACTACTTGTATTTTATCTATTATGTGATAATAGCATGCATCTACTTCTTTCTGCAAGTTTCTGATCGCATTTTTCAAAAATAAGTTTATGGTTTATAAAAAAAAATCTAGGCCACAAGAATTCAGATTTTTTCAAGAATTTCTTTCGCAGTTGAATGCTGTCACTTGGTCTCCACTCGTGTTAATTTATTTGCTAATGGTTAAAGAATTTTTCCGCAATCTTTAAAGTTTTGATTTTGATCAATTAAGAGGATATTTAATCATTTGCGTCCAAATAACACTACTTTTGAGAAATACACGATCAGCGGAAATGTCTGCTCACGCCCTGCACGATGAAGAAATAGAGATACAGACCTTCTACCCTGGTCCAACGAACCTCTCATCTCCCTATAGAGTAAACAACCATTTAATGGCGTCAATTAAGACAACATAACAGAATAACAAATAGAAACTCGCCTCCGAGAAGGACAAATATCCGATAGTTGGTTAATTTCATAATTCATCACCGCGTGGTGGTGTGTCTCTTATCGCTTCTAGTCAAATATTTCAACAACATGGTCAAGTATTGTATGCTAATTGATTTGATCATTAATTCATCGAGGTTATACATCTCCTTACTCAATAATATATCATAATTTACAAACAAATTCATGTCTACTTTCAAAACAACTGTCAATAAGTTATTATTTTAACCAGGGAAATAGATGTGTCGACAACAGCGGTAACTGTGTAATTCGATTGTATTCCTCATCCGATATTTTAAATATATACTAGTAATAAAAAAAGGGTAAAAATTATCAAATCTTGAAGATTAAATCCCAGAAATAAGTGACCATATATATAAGTTGTTTCCTAATGTTCATGCTCAGTGTGCAGTGTACCCATGAGAAACGGGCGATAAGTGTTCGTTATTTGATACCTGTATCTGTCCTTCCCCACCCTGCCCAACTTATTACTACCTTCTTCGAGATCAATTGCTATGTTTGTTTTTTTCGCCATATTTTGTAATGTTGATCCATGTCTAGTGACAGCTGATTATATAGAAATATGACAAACAATATTACGTCACAACTCCACCTTGTACCCGCCTTATACCAGACATACATTACCCTGTTACCTAGGGAACGTACACATTGGGGGAGAATTCTGTCAAGATCCCCCGCCTTGAGTCGCTAACTATTTCTCAAGCGTTTCAACTGGCGTAACTGAAACTTCCTCTTGAAATATTTGCATGAAATAGATTGAGGTTGACATATTCTACTAAGTGTTTTTTGCCTGACTCGCCATAAAAGATTTGAGATTTTGTTTTGAGAAGACAAGGTTAAAGAAAGCAAACAGGCGTGATGTCGACATTTTGTCACTGCTTAGTAAAATGGCTGTACAAGATAAGGGATATCGAGGTGTTCACGTTTTGAACACAAAACACACGTTTAGAAACTCGATGATAATTTCTTGCCTAAATTATGGCAGGTTGTCCAAAATCCTATCCTTACGTTCTCGCAGCTTACATGTATAAACAAAGATTTGTTCCAGCACATTGTTTCACTTGCATTCCTTACATTTGCTTTATTAATCTTGACATATATATATATTTCACTGGAATTTTAGATCTAATTTACTCAATAAATAATCTCAAAATGAATTTTAGAAATATTTAAAAGTATTATATATTAATCCCTCAATTTAGAAGTCATTTTACGAATGAATGAATTTTAAGCGGGAGAATTATTTTTAAGCCTAATAGTTTAAATATTTATGTCTCCATTTACCAACTTTTTCGCCCCTTTTCATAATGCATATTTGTCATAATAAAATACAACAATATTTCTATATATTTTATTGCATCTAAATATATAGTGTTATTACATAAACAATTTGTTTGTAATACTAAATTGATTTGTGATTTTATTTTTACTCTATTGGACATGTTTAAAGTTTGTATTTGCTATGTAAATAGCATTGGGTTTGGATTTTAGCTGATTTTAAAGTATGTTTATTTGAAATAGTATATCCTAATAAAATAACATATTATAGCCCTTGCGGGTAGCTGGCAAGGACTTTAAGAGGTCTTCTCCAAAGGTAAAAAAACACTTGTCGTGTCCTCGCTATTAATATAACTCATATATTCAATTAATCTTTTGATATGTTTAGAAATAACTGCCTTTTTATTGAGTATGAATAGAAATGCACGGTTTTCAGTTCCTATACAAAGCATCTCAATAACACTATACAAACAGTAAAATAGTATTCTTAGCTTCGTTTTAAAAGAAGCTCTTAAAACGTCACAGTTAATATTTTTGACAGCTCTGCGATTAACAAAAAGTTGCGTCGAGGATATATTGGTGTGAAATTGAATGAAATCTCGCCAACATTGAAATCGTTTTACTGAAGTGAATGAGAGTTATTGTCATTGTAAGATTGCTTAGAGAAAAATAACGAATACGGTTCACGGTGAAAGAATCTTTGCTCTGTTTCAGTGAAAGGGGATCGCTATTAAAAATAGTGAACGTCGCTCAAAGCAAGGCGAGGCTGCGTTAGCGGTGAAAAGTGAGAACCAGAAAAGTCAATTGAATTGAGTCTACACAATAACAAAGTTGTGTCTTAGAAAAAAATCTACAAATACAACGGGACACTTTTAGACGAAACGATGTGAATTTTAAAATATGTATCACATGGTGTCCATTATATAGTATTCTATCTCATTTATTCATTTTAGCGAAGCGTAATAATTAATGTATAAGCTTGAGTAATATAAATAAAAGGGGAATTTATGAATTATAATGAGGTTTTAATAATCGACAGCTAAATGAACAGATTTATTTTACGTCGCGTCACCATTTCCTACGATAAAAAGTGGCTATGTTCCTCTGTAAACAACGAAATAAACCGATATATCGGCGATATATTTTTAATGATGGCGACGGAATAAACATCAACTCAGTGTAGGTCATTCTGGTCCTTTCTAGCAAGGCTTAGCTGTCATGTAGGAAGTGGTGGATTTATCGTGATATAGATTGGACTCCCATCACCACCATCGAATATCATTTGTTTACAACGAATGTACTGCCATTGTCGCTGCCATTTAGTTTATTTATTTTGAAAGATTTTTTTATCAACAATAAAATTTATACCTCATTCTCCTGGAATGTAGAACAGTCATCCGGGCTGTGATTAAAATATCGGGCAAACATGGATAAAAACTCGAAGATGACAATTAAAAATTTCAGATCCCGTGATAACATTTTCATTATCTTATCTTTCTATTTGTTAGCTATTATTATTATCATTATACTAGAAGAGTATCCAATTAACTATTTCTTCGTGTGATGATATGACCAAGATTAATACAATATAACGGTACAGGTAGACAAAGTGGGGTGGGTTTGACACACGGAATTCTTGTATTATAACATGTTTTACACTTACCTGAATTATTGACAAAAAATGAAGACGGTGAGATGTATTTCAACGTAAATCCTGTTCCTTTGTTGATTGTTTTCACACTAAAAACTTCGTCAATATGTTAAAAGAGTTCTACTAGATTTACTGATAATACGACTCAAGAACACCGATTACCTTGTACACAGTTCACGGCGATCTGATCAAAATTCACTGTCTTGATCGCCTTAACGTTCAATACGCAAAATATAATATAAAGTTACTTTAAAGATTATTGAAACGGAGTGAAACTTCGGCTTAGCACCGTAAAATCAGCTTAGATGCTATAAATGCTAGTTGGCTACTAGATTTCATACCGTATCTCCCCAACGTGTTACGCAGATAAATAAAACTAGTCCCCGCCTACAGCCCCGCCTCAACCAATCACAAAATATTATTCACTATTCCCCGATAGAAAATATTCTTGCGCACGACTAGTTGTCAAAATTTAGAAACGCCTCGATGTTGAACTTTGACCCGTACAAATTTGACTTAGTTTTAGTACATATTGAATGATAATATGATGGGTTTCTACCAAACAAAGCATGTTCCCTATTTCTCTAATCTTTTATTCGATTTTAATTCGTTATTAAGAAGGCGAGTTGGGAGGGTATTCGTGCTATCGAAGTTAACATGGGTATTTCACTAACCAAACAGAAAATAAACTGTTTAACGCATTAAGTTAAATAAGATCAGACCTTCTTAGCATGGATAAGACTTAATATTAAGAGCATACTTTAGAAAACTACTTTCACACACACACAATCTTGCTATAAAACCTGGCATTTTCAAACAGAGCGCATTTCATTTTTAACGTTCATAACAAAAGTGACTATATTTTAAAGACAGAAAGTCAGATTCGAATTTTACAGGAAGGTTCCAGTGTTTTAGAAACTACAATGACACCGTCTACAGGCTAGGATCATGTTGTCATGGAAACTAGGAACGTGATATTCGTTTATTACATTTTAACGAAGACCTGATATTAAAACATAAAATGATAATCGTGAGTGTTGGATTTAGAAAATTTGATTTAAAAAAGTAATTTTGACATGTGTGCTAAGGTTGTTCGTGTTGTTCATATGGGGAAATTTCAGAAAAATGTGATAATGTGAATGTTGTTTTGTTGATAAATGTGTCTTGCAGTCTGTAAAAAAAATGTTTAGGTGATTGGGGACATTGTTGATGAAGTGTGACAGCTTTATAGATCAGCCGATCGTCCATTTTGGTAAATAAATACAAAATACTATGTTGTTTCCTTGGAGAATAGCCCACCTAGGTTAATGAGAAATAAAATTGTGAGGAATGGTTTAAAAAAGAAATCAGATTTGTCTTTTAATTAATTCGATTTGTAGTCCACAGAGGGCAAATCAGATTAATGAAAACGTGGTGTAAAATATGGCGTATTACAGTTATTTGAATTGTTGTTTTTTCTGATGCTTTTATTTAATTTATTGGGATGTGTGGAAGTGTTTCAAGAGTCAAGTAGTGTCTTGGTTTCTGCACGAGTCGTGATAAATCCGTTATCAATATTTTACAACGACCTTCAATTTAGAAACCGTTACTCTGAAGAAGTTAGCTTAACCTTCAAAATGTTGTTTTCATTAGTTCAATGTTCATTCAACTCTTCAAAATCTATTCGGGCTTTGTGATTTAATAGACTCGATATTTTTCACGAAGCGTCGCCAAGAAAATTTTCGAAGCAAGCAAATGGAAGATTAAGCGATAGATTGTCAAGCATGGCGGAAATAATTGTCATTAGCAGACGACAGGCGACAGATAGGGCATGCTGGGAAAAGGAACAATAAGCGGTAATAGCCTGAAGGAAATGTTTGATGTTTATTCATACGATGTTTATAACTTTATAATATACTCTTAATACAACATCACACCATAAGAATATTTCACAAGTGGCCATTAATCAATGATAATTTATATTTAAAAAATAAAATCCCCATATGAAGATGTTTAGATTGGACTAATTTAGATCTTTGCTGCATCGATTTTTTAATAAGAAGGAATTTCTATCTTAATTCAAAACATAGTGTCCGTGGAAACAAAATATCTTGTTAATAATTTTTTTTTTCTGGAAATGTGCCCTTTTTATAAATCCTGTTAACAATTTATCATAATTTATAAACCAACAAAGGTTAATATATTGAGAGAAATTATTAAGTAATAAAAAAAGCAACTTCAAATTAATTTTCTTTGTGATAATTTGAGAGAATATGAATGAAGTGAAACGTTCGCTTGGTTGATTTTGTATGAGAAGTAATCTATAGTGGGATACAGGCCGTGGAAATATTATATTTAATATTAAATAATTAACATTTTTATCAACCTTAGTAGTTCATGCATATCTAGTCTGATCTTCTTCTATAAAGGTATTTAGTTGGGGTGTGATTTTATGTGATTTCATCGTTGGTGGTATTTTAAATGCATTAAAATGACACGTTTTCATTTTTTTTTTTTTTAAGGTAATTTATGCATGATAAGATTGACAAGTGTAAACTGCATGCATGGTAAAAACAATCAAATCCGGATTATTTATTTATTTGGGGTTTTTTTTTAAACTTTCTAGGCTTCATGGAATTACAATACGCAGACGTTACCATACTTAATTTGGAAATCATCAGAATTTCCTTTCCTCAACCAAACATTGATCAAAGTAAAATAATGCACGTACATGAACAATTGATTATTTTCCAGTAGATTACATGAGCAGTGTAATTAATATTCTCACAACAACACCATATTTTTAATGTAAAAAGCAAAACGGGTGTTTTTGTGGAAATCTCACCAACACCACGAAAAAAACAATAGTTCAGCGATTGGTATCGAAAAAAATAAGTTTACAGATATAAATTGATTGAGTATAAGATTAGAAGACAAAATAACACTTTTCAGCACATTTTGTTTTTATGGTTTATTTTATTCAAGTAATATGTTTATAAATGGGGCATGCTCTTTGTATAAAGAAAACTGCTTTCAACGTAATATTAACCCCATTTACCCTTGTTATTGACACAAGTTATTTAATATTAATGTATTAGACATTGACTCTCTGGTTTGATGTTGCGTTTAGTAAAATATAAACCTGAAAATGTAAATAAAACGTATTTACTATTGTCAAAATATTAAAACGCTGCTACTTCTCTTGTTATTTTCCTTTTTATTTACTATTTACATAAAACAATATTACTTTATAATAATGCCAACATTTACCATTCCAGTATCTTTCTAAAAATGTATTGTAGGCCTATAGAAATGATGGGTATTAATCTCAAACAAAGTATTCGAAATCTTAGGTTTAGGATTCTGTTTTCAATGTAGGCCAATGAATAGGCCTGACTGGAATTAAAATAAAGCCCACTAAAGATCAGCAAAAGTAGATAAAGGACATTATTACACCTTCACCCTAAAAAAAATTGAAAAATGATTGCATAATAAATAGGATGATTTTCATATAATGTATTCTAAATATCAGCGGTATTTAATAATTTACTGTTTTTTTAAATGTGATTCTAGACGGGAAGGTTATTCGTCTAATATATATACACACATATTTTATCAAAAGTAGACTTCTGCGTGAATAAAAACCGTTTACTCGACATTTAAACACCTGTAACTTATTATAATTGATATAGATAATTAACCGTTAAATAATAAGATGAGACTTAATTAACTGTTTCATCTTCAACTCATTAACTTGTGAGTGGTGTTTTTTCAGCAATGGTCAGCCACTCAAAACTAATTTTAAAACTGATCCGTTCTTTATAAGTTAAATGTTTGCGTATATTTTACAATATAGAAGATAAAGTGTTTAATTGCGATAAGTGTTCTATTTTAACACCTTTAATAATACTGTAATATTAGAATGCAGAACAACTTGGAAAGGGTAATTGTGGCAAAAAACCAACAAACATAATAAAATGTGCAATTCTCGAATAAATTACAAATTCGTGTAATCGTATGAAATAAATATTGAACAGTTTCATCTCGCTTAATTATTTCGTATTCCATTTTTTAGAAATTGTAATTGATATCCGTTGTTTGCTTTTCATATATATTATAATTTATCACTGTAGACATTGATTCGATAATGGAATAGCCTAGACCCTTATATTGTCTTTTATTTTCCACACGTATTATTTTCAATAAAGTAAAAATTACGTTCATTTCTTTAAAAAATGGATTGGCTAAAAATAATCATACATAGAGTGTATATGCTACTCATAGAAAAATGAATCAGGTGATGTTCATTTTTTTCATATGATTCTTTGAGTTTTTTTATTTGCATTTGTTAACATTTATAACAGATTGAAAGAATTTGTCTATATATTTTTTACGTTTTTACATTGAATGCCTGTAAGATCAATACTGTTTCCCTGCATACTGTTGTCGGATTACCATAATAACTTTTCTCTTATACAATGATTAAATTAGCTACTAAATTAAAATTATTCGGGTAAAACTTGTTCAGACCACTGGTGTTTTAATATTAACGTAAATGTTGTCCCGACATGATGTAACAAGAAAGCTCTTTTGTTATAATTTTTTATATTTCTTGATTACGAAAGCTTAGTTCATTTGATTAAAGATTAGCAGAACACATTGTCTATAAATAGAACCTTGAGGAGGGTGGGAAGCGGAAGGTTAGGGATGGGGATGGGCTGGAAGTTTAGACGAGAACATTTTATACTTTCCGCATTTAAAGAACTATCGATACGCTCATCCTTTTATTATAATTATTCTTATATATTTTATATTTAATATCAAAAAAAAGATGTGACAAGGAAAACGCCCCTCAAAAGATAAGCTTTGTGTATATTTATTACCAATATTCGATATAATATGGTTGTTAGTATCTAGTAAGAGGAAATATTATAAGCTTATATTTTAATCATCCTGTATATTTATTTGTTTAACACCATGTCGATTTATCGGTATATTTGAATCTTTATTATCGATTGTTTAAAGATGGCGAGAGACAGTGGAAAAATCAATTAAATTCTCTTGTTCTAATTTCCTTCTTGTTCTCTGTGTCAATAAACACAATAACTTAGTTTCTACAGGCCACTATTTCTCTCTTCTATTCAACAAGCATTTACTGTCTTTAATATTATCAGTGGTAAAAATCATTTTTTATATCATTGTAAAAAATGAAGAAGTAGCACACTACAGGGCCCATTACAGCATCTGTCCCCTTGTCGATTTCTAACCGATATCAAGAGGTGTTTCTTATCAAATTTCTCTCAGTAATAACTAATATTGACTTATACATATCAATGTATCTAAGA